TGATAACTATTCAAGGTTGAATTGAGTTGAGTTGAAAATTTTGAAATTAATTCACCAAAGCAGCAAAATTTATTTGGATTGGAGCTTGGAGATCGCAACAATATTACGTCTCAAAGGGTTGAAGCTGAGATATCAGAAGAAAAATGTAGCTAGACACAGTTCTTTGGTGTACAAGTAATTCGTCTAACAGAATAAGGAGCCTCTTTGGAAGTATCTCAACACCCAGGGATCAAAGTCATGTTCACATCTTCGAAATTTATTCAAATAAGAGTATCCCAGAATGAGTGTTTCATCTTTTCCGATTATCTTCGTGTAAGAAAATGCCGACAGCTGTGCTCAGCTCATAGTAATTTTTCGCAAATTCGATTAAATTTTGCATTATTTTTTTACCATCGACAGTACTCCATTAAAAAAACTGTTTTTATTGAAGGTTCGACGATGAGAACACATCGCCAACTTTACGCTCACCCAAATTTGCACCAAGCCCACCGAATATGTATTATAAAGGATGGTGGACATTCCCCTATTTCTCCTGTACATTAAGTAAATGGATACTCTCCTATAGTATCGCAATACCACCGAGTGGACGACACGGTTTACGTGGCTTCATCAGTATCGACATCGATGTAACCGGTCTGAGGGTCAATCAGTGTGAAGCACCCATTAATCGTTTAAGTTTCCAGCAAATGCAAAATCGACGACTGCACCTCACCGATACACCAGCTCCCGAATCCAGAGAGGATATACAGGCATTTCATGGCTCACACAAATGCCATCGCGATACTATGAAGGTTAGTAAGAATTAGAGTCGTACTATATTACGTTAAAAACTGGTGATGTTGCACAAAGAACGCACTTACTCGGTTCAGATTGAATTAGTGTTATTGAATATTTATTTATTTGTAGTGCGACTATCGCGTCCCCAGTACGGAGACGCCGACAATAATCACTAGCAAAATTCTCTCCATACCAAATAGCTGGTCACGTGGCGCTTACCAGTGCCTTTGTCGGCGCGGTTTCTATTCGATGCGGCATCCCGACGGTTTTAATGGCACCATTATGGAGATCGCTTGGAAGGAGCATCAAGAGAATGTGAGCAATTATTATGCAGACGTCTTTACTTGCCTGCAATGTGAGCCCGGCTGTGATTTCTGTACGGGGCCCGAGCCATGTTTGGCCAATTATAATTGGCCTTTTAGGTAAATACCTGGGAAAAGCTCCAATAAGTTATTTCTAAGGAGCTTTAAGTGGATATTTCTTCATATTCTACTTAAATACCAATTTCATTATATAATAATATTTTTGTACTTTTAGAATATCGCTTTTGGTAATATCAATAGGCTGTGCCATTGGTACTTTCGTGCTGGCAGGTTATCTCTTCCATCATCGCAAAGTAAAAGTTTTCAAAGTGGCCAGTCCAATATTTTTATTAATTACATTAATTGGATGCGCAATAATGTATTTAGAGGTATGTAAGTGCTAATTATAGGTGATCTGTAAAATTCTTGGATATGTTTTATATGAACAATATGTAAGTACTTTAGTCAGAGATGGATTAGTGTCATAGGTGGGACTTTGGAACTAATTTGGCTACTTCTAAAAAAAAGGAAGGGAAAAGCTTAAAGTACCGAAATGTGCTGATAAAGCTCTTGTGTTGAATCCAAGATAGGAAAAATCGATCATAAAACGTACTAAATATCCGTCTTGGATTAGACCACAACCCAGCCCTTTGGTCTCCTTAGTCTGAAGAACTCATGTGATGACTGCTCATGTATCTATGAACACTAGACTTTCAAAGGCATGTAAATATGGTTCCATCTATCAGTTAAAACTTTGAAAGAACACCATTTGGTATAGACCATTCAGAAGACAAGAACCTCAATTTGGAAGACACAATAACCATAAACCACTGAAAAGTCTAACAACTTTCGCATGGTTGCTTCAATATTGGCTTATGTTAGTCAGTAAACCATATGCGAACCAGTGAGCTCTACATTTTTTCCCTGCTGTGTCTTGGAATACATATATTATAAAATTAATAAAGAAGTTGTTAGAAGTCGATGGCCTTTTTACCAACACCTCTACACTAAATGTTTTTGCGAATCAAGAAACACAAACGGATTAATAAGAAGTCAGAATTTTACTGTTTTATTCAGTTTCGGTTGTCAACTCTTCATTCGACGAAAACTTTTTCTCATCGCGCATTCTTTTGAGTTCTAAGAAGAGGAAATAGTCGGAAAGAGCCAGATCTTGAGAATACTGTGGATGTGGAAGCAGTTTGCAACCCAATTCATGGAGTTTTGCCAACGTTTTCACTGACTTGTAACATTGTGCATTGTCTCGGGTAAACATCTTTTTCTTTCTCTCCAAATGCGACCGTTTGTCAGGGATTCGTACTTTAAACGATCCTGTAACACTGTTGATTGTCCTTCCTTTTTCAAGATAGTAAATAAAACATATTCCATGCACAGCCCAAAATACAGACGGCACAACCTTGCCAGCCAACTGACAAAAGGTGAAATATAGAACTTTGTTCCCGAATGGGTTTCGGTAATGTGAAAACAAACAATAAGAACCGTAGTAGGAAGATTTTTGTAATAATACGGTCATTTTGAAAAAAGTTTTTTTGCTTTCTGTTAAGAAAAATCGAAAAGGTAATGTGTTCTGTAAGACCATGCATCCAAACCTCAAAAAAGACTTCGATCACAGTACTTTTTTGAGATTTCTAAACTGTTGAATCGATTTCGTTTATTTTTTCGATTTCTTCAAAATAATGTTTAATACAAGCTTCTAAAAGTTCATATAATTTTTCAGATGGTGGCGATTTTCCCTTACTTGGACATGACATGGTGCATCGTGACAAAGTGGACACGTCACATGGGATTTTGTATCACATACACATCGCTGCTAATGAAAACGTGGAGGTAAGTACGAAAACAGTATCATCGAGCCTAGATTAAAAGTAGGAATTTTTTTATCTACGTACTTTTCCTTTTAAACATTTAAAATAATTCTTTTTTGAAGAGTCTCTCTCACGTATCGCGTTAAATCGGCACACAAGGTCAAACTCACCGATCAACAACTTTTACAATGGATGGTGCCGATTTTACTCGTGATGCTCATTTATTTGGGCACTTGGACCATTTCAGCTACTCCGTATGCCGAAGTGGTAGGTCTACACAACTTTTTGCATAATTAAGAAATTTGAACTTAATGCCTCTCATGTTTTCCCATAGATCTACGATCAGGGCGGTTTAAAGTTCAAGCAGTGCTCTTACAATTGGTGGGACCATAGTTTGGCCATCGGCGAGGTGCTTTTTTTGGCTTGGGGCATACGTGTCTGCTACAATGTTCGCAATGCCGAATCATTGTACAATGAAGCTCGTCTCATTTCTTATGCCATTTACAACATAGCCATTGTTAACATCACGATGGTCGCATTCCAGTGAGTCTTGCTACCTGCCTTACTTTAGGTTCTAATTGTTTTACTAGTACTAACAAACTCTTTTCCAGTCTTTTCATATTTCCAAGAGCTGGACCGGATATCAAATATCTACTCGGCTTCATACGTACGCAATTTTCTACAACAACAACTATTGCTCTAGTATTCGGTCCGAAAATCTCACGTGTTCTCAAAGGACAAGGTGACAAATGGGATCAGAAGGCCAAAGTACGCAGTATAACTGCATCGTTTTCATTGAATGGTGTTGGCCTGGTGCCCGAAGAGTCTCCGGACTTGTATCAGGAAAATGAAGAATTGAAGGTTAGATGATTTTTATATAAAATAAGATATATTATATTAAAACTTAAGTACCCTACGTTTTACTAGAGCTAGTTCGTTTTAGAAGAGTCGAGTTTGTGTAACTGCTAGTCGGTATGTCGACACAAGTTCGGGTCGGTCCAAGTCCTGGTCCACTTTATTCTTCAAAGTTTCTAAAGAAAGTGCATCTCTTATCCTTAAAGTCGATTTAACCCTATATTAAAAGGTACATCATTGGTTATCGGCACTAATTTGAAGATACGACCTTTTATGAAGTATCAACAAGCATTTTGCCTTACACATAGTGTTATCGAAAATTTTTTGGAAGTTATACTACTACCAAAAAACCATTTAGGCAATAAAAGATCTGATATTCGATATCCCAAACACATTTATCAATCAAATTATCGATAAGTTATCGGTATTTATAGTTTTATTCATAAAGACGTCGATCTGATGATACAGTATTGAGACAATAAAAGATCTGATATTCGATATATACAAACATTTATCGATAAACTTATCGATATCGAGATGTCGAGCCATCTTTTAGATTTAGTTTATTAATATCGATAATTTATCGATAAATATATCGATAATTTTTCTATATCGATAAATATATCGATAATTTTTTATATCGATAAATATGTCAACAAGGATCGAAATTGCAGTACTTATTAAGTCCCATTAGTTTTACTTCTTCTAAAATGTTATTAATTGTTCCAGCAATCTAGCAGTTTATGAACTATTTCTTCTTGATCCAATAAATGTGCTTTTTTTCTTCTAAAAACAAGAACCGACACAATTTTTATATACCATTAATATGCTTATAACCTATGAGCATCCAAATGTGATGGATTGTAAAAATTTTTTTTGATAAATTTTCCAGGAACAAATCCAGAAGTTGGCACATCAAATTGAGTTCATGAAGACTGTGCACATGCAAATGAATAATCGGCATTTAAAACCAAAACCCGGTGGCTATTTCACCATAACATCGACTTCATTGCAGGCGCCGTTCAGCAAAAATACGATGTCATCCGCCCAAACACAGACTTCTAAAGGCACTGAGGACTCACTCGGTGGTAACAAAAATTTGGGGTAAGTGCTTGTAGCAAACCACTGTGCTAATGAAAACAGATTTACAATTTTTGAAATATTTTTTTTCTAGCTTCCCCACCCATTTAACACCATCAAAAGCCCGTACGCATAAGGAGAAAGTTTGACGAGATCAGCGAAGTGTAAAAGATTGCTCAACTGAATTTAATTTTCAACACTCAAACGATAGTCATAGCGGTGAATATTCACCATACTCTACACCTTCCATAACACACCCACCGCCAACGCTCGGTCAAGCCGAGCACGATCTACTTAAACAGTTTGCTTTGCTTTTCGGTCCCGACGCCGATGTCAACACATATTATATATTAGATTCAGATGTTGATGGTGATGACGAAGACACTAGCGGTAGGAGTACGACAGCCAATGTGCATATCGAACAGACGATTGCCGAAATTAATCAGGCCGGTTCACCTTTTGAAACCACCCGCACAACGCCGACAAAAAGTGTGACCAGCTCAATGACAATTTTACCAGAATCACCATCGTTTACTATTAACGAGTCGCATCTACCGCATATACCATCTTCATCTACATCCAGCTCATCCATGTACGCCATACGCACGCCATCACCGATACGGTTTCGTCTCTTGGAATCGCCAAGCTCCGATATCGACGGTATCACGCTTACCGAGATGGTGGAGGTACATTGCCCACCGACGAAAGCACTCGACGTTAGTGTGAATATGGAGCATTTACTGGTTGAAGATCAAAGTGGGGTTGGCGCCACCGATGAGTTTCCGAGTCAAAATAATAATACATCCTGTTCTATGTCATCCACCCTAACAGATAGCAAAACTGTTGATGTACGAACACCGATAGTAGTTTAAGCTTGTGTTAAAAAAACATGTATGTATGTTTGAATGTGGTAACCATGGTATTTAATTGGACCTAAGTTGGTAGTGGCTAAATCCATGTGCTTGAACCCCGACAAGATTAGTTGAAGTGCAGCAAAGCCACAAAGATCACATAGAAAAGTGTAAAACAACAAAGCTAATTGTGGTAAATGAGGCACAAATATCCTACTCGTATCCAGAAGCTTAGCTTCGTAGTTCGTTATTTGTTAGTAATCAGACGTGTAAATGTAATTAGGCTGCGAAATCAAACGTCAAAAAAATTATTACTTTCTACGCTCGAATGATTTACGTATAGCTGAAGAACTTAGGGGTCATTTTACTTAGCAATTTTGTTGGAAATGATTCGTTAGTATAGAACTGTTGCTAGCAAGCAAGTTGTTTCGATGGGATTGGACTATTTGCAGAAGACACCACAGTATTTTTGAAGCTGTGTATACGGCAGCCAATTAGATAGAGTCTTAGGCTCACGTAGTGTGTAAAGCATAGGAAGATACCAAACATCCTAACTAGTGGAAAGGGAAATGTCTTCTTTTATTGGCGGGTTCCACACTTTCCATAATGGATGTTGAACATTTTTGGAAAGACTCTTCCTAACACATTGTTTTTGTCGACGTTTGACTCATCCTTTAGCCTTTTCCATCGAGGGTTGCAACTATGATCATTATGTAAGAAATATATTCAGATCCGTTAAGACGTGTTTAACGAACTGAATTTATAGCGATAATTCTGTTTTGTCGTATTGGTTAGAGATCCTGCTAAGATTTGTGAATTCAGCATTCATTAGCCGGTAATGATATTATAGTAAAATAACTGTGCATTTTAAGAGAAAAGTGTTGTTTTTTTTTAGGGTATAGAATTTAGTATGAGTAAAGAAATGTTGCGATGTATAGAAAAATTGACGTCATAAAACTGTTTAGATTGCCTTAAAAGAGAGTCAAAAAGTTACAAACGTCTTGCTTGTTAGTTCAGAGATACTACCACTTGTCCTCTTTTACCATAAATTGCTTTGTTATCTCTGTTATACTTCGTAATTTACTCTACTCGAATATGTAATCTTAATTTCGTCAAGTTATTTTCGAATAGAAACAGAGGAACTTTTTATAATTCATATTTTTATTAAAATTATTATTTCGAAAGCGATAGACGTCAAGTTACATATGCTGTATTGTTGTTGGTAAAGTGGTGTAAAATACGTTCGAAATTTTTTTTTGAGCATCAGAGTGTGTTATTCTTACGGTTACGGCTGGATTCTAGCGCTTGTACTAACTTTTGTTCATATGTAAATTTATATACGAACATTAAGCCTTTTCTCTGATGTGGAGAAAAAATGCCAAAAATGGCTCTTTACAGTCATTTGAAAGCGTTTATTAATGGCCTACTAAATCTTTCTGTTCCAACAGAACTAACGCAAATTTATACTAGGCTCTGACCAGGGTTGCAATTAAGTAATTTTTTTATACTGAAAATATTAATTAATTAATAATTGGATCCCACAATCCGATTTACAAAATTAAGTAAATAATCCCAAAAATCGGTTTAAAATTTTATTTAATTTGTTACACCCAAATACCAGATTTTCATTGAACTGCACTGGATTGTATGGGAAAAAACAAAGCACAGCTTTGAAAAACATTAAAAAAAAATGTTAAAATGGAATGGTCGGACTAAAAATTTGTTTTATAATTTTTTAATCTCAAATACTGCATTGAATATAAAAAAAAAGTTTTTAAATCCCAAATATCCCTTAAAATAAAAAATAACTTTTAATAGAGTTTACATTTATGGTCTTTCGGGTCTACCATTTTAGTTATCTTTTGAAAAGCAAAGTTTATTTTCAAAATTATTTTCATTTTTAAATATCCACATGGCTTGGCCCTTTATGTTTTATTTATATTTAACTGCTTTTAATACTAATCTTTCAATCAGAAATTTGTAAATCTTTTCTCCTTTATCACTTTTAATTCCACTTTTTTTTAATAAAAAAAAATATTTTTATTTGTGACTTAAATTTTTTATTTAAAAATTTTTTCTAAATTTTAATTCTAAATATTTAAAAAATTAATTTTCAATTTTTATCATTAAATTCAAAAACAAAAATTAAAAGTTAAATTTTAATTCCGAATTATTAACTTAAAATATTTGGATCGAATATCAGATTTTTAGTTCCAATTTCTGGGTTTAAAAATATAATTTTTTATTATTATTCCTAAAATCGGGATAGAAAATTTAATTTTTGGGTTTTAGAATTTAAAATTTGAATACAAAATTAGATTTCTAATTCCAATTGTGGGATTAAAAATTTACTTTTCTATTGTTAATCCCAAAACCGGAAAAAAATTATATTTTTATTCCCAAAAATTGTATCAAATACTACAGATCTTATTTTCAATTCAAAAATTCGCAACCCTGGTCTTCACACGATATTATCGATAAATGCATTTATCGTGACTTTCTGTTATTAATTACTATCTCTTTAAAATTATTCGTTATATTTGTTCTTAGATTGTTATGTGTTTCATAAAAAGTAATGACTGTTCAGATTAATTGTCAGTATACGAGTATACAATATCTTGTATTAAATACATAACTTTTTAAATAATTATTTACCTTCCCAACTAATTTCTTATAAAAATTTAATTGAAGTATTTTGAAAGCCGAACTAAATCAGCTCTATGATAAATTTGTATGCAACGTATGAAATGCAAGTAACTGAAATTACACACATATATATATGTATATATTTTTTTAATTATATTATGTTTATGTATGTGTATATAAAAGATGGCGTTTGCTTAAAATAGTTAATTATGAATGAAGAGTGTAAGCATGTTGGGCAATTTTTTTCACTTCGTTGAAAAAAAAAAACGTAATGCAATAAATAAAAGGTAGAAATATGGAAAATCTTTAGAATGCGTAACAGTATAGAATAAGCTAGTTTGCAAATTTAATATATATTTTCTTTAATTTTTACGATTTTTATCAATACTAAACTTGTCTCAATACTGCACTTTTACTACTTTTCTTTTTTAAAACGCAAGAATTTTAAATTTAACTTTGCATAAAGAAGTTTGAGTATAGTTAATTAAGTAAGATATACCTGTGTCTGCATAAAACATGACATGTGTGTCAAATTAAATTGTTTGTAAATGTAAGCATTTCATGTACGATACCAACTGACTAATAAACTCGAATGAAATGATGAATAAATTGTTAACAGTTTTGAAAAAAAAAATAAATAAAGCAAATAATAATATAAATGGTATAAAGACTTTAAATAAATTATTAGTCCTACCTTAGATGGGTTCTACGTTGCAGCAATTAGTTAATTTGTTGATGGTTATTGTTGTGCGCGAGAATATTCTCGAAAATGCGTAGGGTATGCTTTTGATAGGGTTTGAATCCGCATCCGTTTCCGACTGTCGTGGTGATAAGACAATAATTAATTGGGCTTACATAAAATATTTTACATACTCACATACAGATGCAACAATTTGCATCTGATTTACATTCCTTTCGCTTAATATTTGCAGAATTAGGTTAGTCAAGTGGCACACAACTGAACAAAATGGCGTCGATCACGAAATTTTTCACATTTTACACATAACACAAACTTATATACGTATTCTAACTATAATCTCACAATTTTTCACATTTTACGCATCGAAAACTAATATGCATATTCTAACTATATACTCTATTATATAAATATAATTAACTAACTAAATCTTTTAAATTTACCAAGCATTCTATCACTTTTTTAAATTAATCAAACAAGAGAAATTCAAATACTAATATGCAACACGGACTGCTTTTTCCCGCACTGTGGTGAACAAAGTAGAGAAAGCACGAACCAGCTGTTTTGCAGCAAATGGCTGCCTCTACGAAAGATGGATGTTTGGTAATAATTTATAACCAACCAACAAGAATACATATAATAAGCAAAAACAAAACACTTTCAACATTTTAATGAGCACAAAGCGGAATACTAAAAACATAAACGCACTTATTTGTTGTAAATTAAAAAAAACTCCACATTGTTAATTAGAATGTATGATATTCAGCAGCACTCACTATATCGCAAACCTACTTCCGTGAATTTTCGAATTGCACTTACAATTGCTTGTCATATCACATGACACTTCCGCGCAACTTTAGAGCTTTTCACCGTGCTGTGGTGAATATTTAATGACATCCGTGAATTTTTGACGTGCACTACCCAGCAAGCCACCTATCGGTTAAACTTCCAGCTAAATATTTAACAGCCAAAGCTACCACAGATTTCTGTTAATGTTTCTAAGAGTTCCTTAACCCCCAATTGATAATTGTAACCCAAACTGTTGTGTACATGTGATTGCTCTTCTCTTTCTTAAGGGGTAACATGGGTTTACGGGTTTCAAAAAATCGATTCTTTTATTGTATTGTATTATTAAATTTTACAGCACTTCTAGAATACTGTCATACACATTGATTCGAGTTATAGTTTCGGAGATACAGCCTTGAGAACTTGTGCGCTCGAGGCTAGCTGGGGTAAGAGCGCTATCTTTAAACGCATTTTTCTCGAAACTGTGTTTTTGAAGCCAGTTGGCAAGATTTCTTGAGAACTGTTAAGTCGGTTTTCATGAAATTTTTTACAGATCTTTGAGATATATATGTACATATATATTTAGTATATACAACTATTTGAAAAAAAAAAAAATTTATTGAAATTTAAATTTTTTTGTAAAAATGTCAAAAGTACAATTTTCAGTTTTTTTCCTAGTTCTAATTTTAGGTTTTAACTAACACTCCTTTTTTTCCTTTGTCCTTCCTTTGTCCTTTTTTTTGCACTTTAGATGATCCTGAAAGAGTCTATCCTGCCAAAGCGGGCACATCTTTTATCCAAGAGTTCACTGGAAAATGCGTCGCAATGGCCGAGCTTGAAATATTTTTATCCAAAAAATCTAATAAAATATTTAAAATTTTATATGACAAAAAAATTATAAAAAAAAGCCGTTTTTTAAACGAGAAAACCCATGTAACCCCAAAATCATAATGATTTGCTACACACCTTGGTATATGTATGTATGTCAGTTTCTGTGTCATTTCTTTCAATGTACTGCAGTTTCTGTAACTGTGACTTACTGGGTAAAAACTGTCTGTAAAACTGCCAACACGCCACCAACTTCCGCCCAAATCTAGAGCTTTTCACCGCGCTGTGGTGAATAGTTAATTGCAAAGGGAAATCAGTTCAATAATTCAAAAAGGATTCTCCACTGACGTAAATGTCATCACACAACCAACTTCCGCGCAAATTTACAACTTTTCACCGCGCTGTGGTGAATATTTAATTGCAAAGGGAAATCAGTTCAATAATTCAAAATGGTTTCTTCACTGTCGCAAAAGTATGCAAATTTCAAGTTTTGTGTTAAATTTCTGAAATTAGTGTGTAATTTAGTGAATTTATAGTAAAAGAAATATGAATAGTGTAAGTGAAAGTGTTTACTGTGGCTGTGCGTATACAGAAATAAAAATATGCAGTCATTCCACAAAGGAGCCACAGGCGCAATTTGGTAGCAGCTAACACATAACCTGCAAAAGTGTAGCGGCAATTGGTTCCAGCTAAAAGGTAAGAAATAATTTTGCTTAGTAATCATTATTTACTATTTATCTAACAGATGACTTTATTTGCTTCTTTTGGACATTATTTTGTTGTTGTTGTTGTTGTAGCGACAGAATCCGGGTCCGTACCGGTGACGTTATCTTTTCTATCGCTTTGTGTGTGGGCCTTAAGAAATGTACTCTAACATATTATAATTATAAGGAAATATGCATTCATAAATTAAAAATAACCCGTAAAACAAACCACTTCTATGATAAAGTGCGAAGCGCACAGACAATACTTCAAATTATTCCTACTTGAAAACTAAATCGACATAACTTATAAAAGAAAACTTCGACAGATAAATATTATACACCTAAAATAACTATTTTCAATTATTTCCAATTAAATATTATTAAATTTTTAACAGACAGAATGGCCTGTCCTTCAGCGGGCAAAATTTTTTTTATAAAAATGTGTATCGACTCTTTTTTGCTTATATGAACGCGACTGTCTTGAGAAAGGCATATGCCTTTTATATCTACTAAACACCTTCAAAAGCAGAGAATCTACAGCTATTTCTGTTAAGATATTTCTCGTTTTCTGTTTGTATGCCCTCTGATTATGCCAAATATTTGCTTTTTGTTATTACAACTTGCATGTTAAAAAATAAGTATCATTACCAAAGATTATTGAATCAAAATTCTTATTTTGTTTAATTTAAAACAAATTGTATTCGTGTCTGGCGTGTTTTCGAAGAGGTGCTAAGAGTAGCACAATAATATAGCTCAAATAATGGTAAATTGCAGCACACTCCATAAATATAAAATTATTGCGTTGATTAAATATTGTGCTTTTATAGGAACAGGAAATATTGGATGAAGAATTTCGCTGCTACATGCGTGTAGCACGTTCACTCGAAGTTACATTGAAGCGACCCAAAGGTAGCGTAGTTCAAATAGGTTTCAAAAAAGTCATGATTTTATTTCAAATGCAGATCTCGAGTGTTGTAAGCAACTGTTGAAAAATTGTGAACGGCTTAATGGCGTAGACAATGTTATGGTTAAAAAAAATACAAATGTTTTTATGAAATACTTGTTGAAAGTGATTAATTGGACAAGTGTGCATCAGCCACTACAGCTGTATGACAAATGGGTAAATACAAATGTAAAATGTGTTGCATATATCTAATAACGCGTTTGAATTGTTTTTAAATTCCCTAAAATACTTTTTTTCAATTACTCAATAGTATCAAGGTTCAAAAACTGAAGTTAAATTGTGGCTTCAGGATAACAAATCATATATGGCTGTTAAAGAAATGCCAAACGGTGCGCTCGCTATATACTGTGCCGTTGCGAATTCACCAAGTGCCGGTTGGCAAGACGGCGCATTAAAAATTATGAAAGATTCTAAAGATCCAGATGCAGAAGAAATTTGAAGTTCTATTGTTGTATGTTTTATTATGTATACATTGTAGTGTATGTGTAAAAAATTTTTGTACGTGAAATATATTTTTTTACAATTTGAACTTAAAGCGAAATGCTTACATTAAGGCACTTAAGTTTACGGACGATTACATAATAGTGGTCATAATTATAAAAAGAAAACTAATATATTAATAAAATGGACGGAATGTTTATTCGAGACAGTTTTCGTTTGATTCGTTGCCTAATTCACAAGCTTCTTGCATGACAGCGCTAATATGGCAATAATTGCTATAGCGAAACACTTTTTTGATAAATTAATGCTTGAGGCGGCATTGCAGCTATCATTAGAGCAATAACATTCTTCCCAATAGACGCCATTTTCATAAACACCCCAGTTGCAGACACCAGTCACGCCTGTATCCGATACTGAGGCGCAGCGCCTAATTACTTGACGCCAACGGCCATCCCCTACATAAAAATTATTATGTTAAATAAGTAGCTTATTACACAAAAAAAAAAAAAAATAAAAAAAATAACTAAAAAATATATAGAACTTACAGATGAAACCTTTAGGACCTTGTTGTACCACCTTCATGCAAAACGAACCGGGCATATGTGATTCATCACTGTTACATTCGATGGGAATATGTTCCGTCCGGTTAAATGGTTTATAAGCACCACAACTATCGTAACCTTTGCGATCCTGATCGGAGGAGCATTGGTAACACCGTATAGCAAGCGAACCTTAAATCATTTTATAATGTTTACACATTCATGTATAATTATTAATAAGCCATTTAAGCCACACCCAAGCCATACTTTAAAGTATGATTGTAAAGTGCATATCAGCAAGATTATAACTTACCGACGGTACATAGTGATAACACAATCACTACATAATTCACAATGTTGCGCATTTTAAATAGGAATTTAAGAACTTGAAACAGAATTTGTTTTAATAATTCTACATAAAATATAAACAAGCTACATAAAAACAAATAATTTTGCTAACAAATTTGACATACACGAAGTACAGGGTCTCCAAATATCAAAATATATTTTGACCGAGCGTTGCCAGCAAGTCTTTATGTATACAATTTCCATTTACACATGTCAAAAAAATGATTAATGCAACTATATAAAAAAAATGTTATTCAAATTCCTTCATATTGATTAGTTTCCAGCTCTGAAGTAATTGTTCGAGAAATTATCGGTATTTTTTCTTTTGTGTGAAATAGTAGTTAGCAAGATTTCATATTCATATCGCACCGTGAATGTTAAGCAGTGGAAAAAGAAGAATGTTTAAAAATTGGCCGAACAAAAAGGAGAATTCTTTAAGCAAGAGTAATTGGTAAGTTTCCCATTCTGTATACTTGAATTTGTTTAAAAATATCATGATTATTTATTTTTCAGGTGGTCCTTTTTAGTATCTAGGATAGCAAACGATTTCATCCCTACTAGCAATTGTGCTAGAGTATGTGATAAAAATATATAAGGCATTATGTTACCACAAATAGGATTTGATCGCATTGTTTTTTCAGGTATCTGGCTTCGAGAGATTTACAACGCCATATTGACTCCTGCTGCCGTATTAGCAAGCAGCAAGCAGAGGAATAGTGTCCGAGGTGTATAAGAGAATTGAAAAATGAAATTCAAGAGAAGACAGAACACACGTCGTTTGAGATATCTCATCACTTTCGAACACAATGGAATTTTCCAAACTGCTTCGGGGCTATCGATGGCAAACACATAGCTATCAAAGCTCCACCAAAATGAATATAATTATACCTAGTTAATATTTTTTTTTTTTTTAAATGCTTTTATTTTAGGGATTACATTCTACTGCGTTGATGTGATGCCAATTATAAATTCACATATTTGGTTGTTGGAGCTTATGGAAGTGAAGGATAGATAGTTCAATATTATGAAGAATACTTAATCATACATAATGATTGCTAGCAATTTCCTGCCGACGGCTGTATCGATGGCAAAAAAGTATCACATTTCATTGTGGGAGATGACGCATTTCCACTGTGTAAACGTATACTAAAACCTTACAGCAGCAAAAACATTTCCACAGAGGAACAAATTTGCAATTATCGTTTAAGTAGAGCAAGACGATGCATTGCAAACGCGTTTAGAATTTTGAGTGCAAAATGCCCTTGCCTCAGAAAGGTATTATTTTGCCATCCGTATCAGGCATGCTCGATTGTTTCAGCATGTTGCCTGCTACATTTCCAATATGTATATTTATAAAAACAATAATTACTATTTATTTTATGTATACCATGTATATACATATCTTCTTAATAAAAACAAGCTTGATGTTTCCAAATTTCGTGTTTATTTATTTTATAACTAATCATAAGATAAGTGTGTATAAAAAGATGTTTGTTTCTGTTCCTTATTCTATTTTTTTGATTTAAATTCTTTCACTTTCTGTAACAGCATACTGTTAAATTCCATACACATATCATCAGCAATTGACTGTGGAAGCTTATTCAACAACCAGTCAAAACAAGCAAGGACTTGTGCATATGGGGAGTTGTTCTTTCCTGCTACTAATTCTTCTGGCTTCTTTAAAATGTTGTTGAATTGACTCCATGTCTCGTCATTTTGGTGTCCGCTAAACGACCGATTACTTGTGGTGGGTGTTGGACTCTGCAAAATAAACAAAAAATAAAACATTTCCATTTACATGTACACTATATACACTTACATAATCAAATTGCGGAATAATTAACTCCTCCGCATTAGCTCTATTTATGGCGGACGATGAATCTAAATCTTCAAATGTTGGACTTGTGAAAGTTCTACGAAAACACAACAGAAATTCGTGAAATTTTAAACTAAAATTTAATATACTTACTTTCTTGATACATCTGGCAAAAATGCCATTTCTTCAGCAAACTCCCAATCAATAGTTTCTCGACGAGCGCTACCCCTTTTGTGCTTGCGGGCCACTTTGACGTGATAGCGATAGCTCTCCCGTAAGCTAATCCATCCAACTTTGCACTCATTAACTAAATAAACATAAAAACTAAATTAAAGTTAAGAGATTCATAAAATAAAACTTTAATTTATAAATACTTACCACTTTTGCCAAGCGAATTGCTTATGTGGACCCAGGCCTGCTCCAAAGCATTTTTATTCGAATGCATAACGTTTTTTGTGTCCCATATTCGGGGCCACTCTTGCACTTCTTTAATTAGTTTTCGTTTTTCACTTGTTGTGAAATTTCTTATTCTCTTTTGCCGCTTTGTTGCAGGTATTAAGACTTCCATTCTTCTAAGCGTTAAACAAAATAATATAAAAAAATTTAAATAAAATCATAAACTTACTTATTCTTCCCGCCCAATTTTCTTCAGAAATCCAGAAATTATTAATTTGATTTTCCTTCAAGAAACAATTGTTGATTTAATGTTTCTTTGCAAAACCAGTGTTGCCTATCCACAATTTATAAAATAAAAGTAGTAAATATACTTACTGAATTTCTTGGGAGCTGAATGTTGCCACAAGAAAATTTAACACCAGAAAACTTCTTCAGACTTTCTTTAGTGTTTTTTTGTTTTTTTGTATGGAGAAGCAAACACTCTTGAGAGCTGGAAACTACTCTTATAGAAGAAAAATATCTTTTCCATCACTTTTAATATATTCATTTTTTCGTGTTAACGAATGCGTTAAAGTATGCAGAATAGTGTTAAAGTATTTTTTCACTTTACATACATCCGGCATCACCACCGAAGGTGTCAATTTTTAATCATCAAGCCATCGTGTATTTTGGGTGGGGACGCTTTTCCCATATTTTGTTTGTTAGTAATTAAACTGCATTTATAGATTCGTACAAAAGTTTCTTATTATTCAATATAGTACAATGAGTAATTTCCAATCAGCAATTTATGTTGGCATATTTCTATGTTGCCTAGTACAACTGGGTAAGTAAATATAATTGAAAATTACACACATAAAATCAAAATGACGCACCCATTCATAAAAATTGTTTTAGGCTTTGCCATTAAATGCTGGGACTGCCGCTCAGACAACGATCCAAAATGTGGAAATCCATTCGACAATAGTTCACTGGTTATTACTGATTGTGCACAGGAGCCTGAATTGCAACACTTACCTGGCGTACGACCGACAATGTGTCGTAAAATTCGTCAAAAAATGCACGGCGAATGGCGCTATTTCCGTAGCTGTGCTTACATGGGAGAACCTGGCATTGAAGGTGATGAGCGTTATTGTCTGATGCGCACAGGAAGCTACAATATTTTTATGGAATACTGCACATGCAATAGTAAAGATGGTTGTAATATTGCCAGTCTACTTAGTGGGAACAAAATTGCAATAACGCTCAGTACAATATTAGTTGGTGCAATTGCTTGGACATTACGCCTTTAAAAAAATGTGACTACACTCCATATCATTTATAACTAAAATGTGCCTTTTATAAGTGATTTATTAATCGAATATGCATACTTGTATGTAACTTAGTACAATTAAGTATTGTTAAGACAAATACTTAACATTTTAAACATGTCCGTCCAATACGATATACATATATATTAGATTAACTTAAAAAAGTAATAAACACAAAAGACTAAGAAAACGAAATTCTTACTTTGCCGAGTTCGTATATGAAAACATTAAGCATTCCAAAAAACATTTATTGTAATCAATAAAACCAAAATCAATTTATTTATATTGACAAATTGAAATTAACAACACTGTGTTTGTTTACTAGTTTTGACAAGTAGTAATAAATAAAAAATTAAAGATCGTTGGTCCCATGACTTTTCGGTAGCGTGATGAACTTTTTTAGATTTTTTAAATCGGTTTGATATAGTAATCAGCTGACATACAAATTAAACGATTAAGATCGCGGTCTTATATGAAATTATTTTATTTTGTCATATCTTCATTAGAGAGGTTTTAATTAAGTACTAAAACTACAATCGCAAAGTGCAACTCTTCGACTCTTTAAAAAATAAAAAATATACACCGCTTTTGGAAAATATTTTTACTGAAACTACTTTTATTAAACCCTTTTAATACATTTTGTATAAATTATTAAAATATCAATTTTTTAATACCATCAGCTCTCTAAATGCTTAGTTTTGTAAATGTGTTAAGTGTAACATATTTTGCTAGATAGTAACAGAGCACAAAATAATTTTATTTGTTTAATTTTACAAATTATTGATAAATTACAATATTTACATAGTTAGAGACTGGCAATTTTTATGTATGTAAGTATGTACATATTGGGTATTTTTCTATATTTTGACATAATTAATATAATACAATTTGCAAATATACTTCCAAGAGGTTACAGTTGATTGTCTCTAACAATATTTAACAAAATATAATTTACATTAAAAATTGCATAGCGATCAAGCTAATTAGCGTCGCCAAGCTGATCGCCACGAAACCAGCTGAGGAAGCATTACAGAGATCACCCTTGCAAATGTGACAACTTTGTACTTCGCGACTGTGGGAGACTGTGCAAACATCAGGCTTCTGACCTACTACCTCAAAGTGGCAGTCACGTGACACTATTATGCCAGCCTTGTCTGTAAAAAAGGAGGAAAATAAATAATATTTGTTTTTTATTGATAGTTTTTTTTTATATTATTTTTATGCTTTAATATTATATACTTTAAATGGTAATATCTGTTTATGCATTTTTTAATGTTTTTGATATTGTGATATTTCTAATTTTAATGTATTTAATAACGGTGCATATACTTTAATTTCAAATTGTATGAGTCATATTCTGTAGGTATTTTATGCATTTCATTCGCGAATGAAAACAACTTTTCTTCTTTTCTTTGGCAACAATAAAAGGTGGAATTTGTAATCAAAACAAAATAAAAATGCAAAACATATGTTGCATTCGTTGTGGTTAGACGTTACAATTGTAGAAATTTCATATTGTTAACGTTAAAATTTTAAATTTTATTATTTTTTTTAATTTAATGTGTTTTAGAATATGCGTCAGTGGAGCTTTGAAGGAGATGCTAACTTCCTGTAAGAAAGTTATCTTTGGTATAGAAAACGTTTGTAAGATTAAAATCAGAAAATTTTGCATTTAAATGATTGTTGCTGTTTTCACGGTTATCCCTTATGGAAAATAAGTAGCCGTAATCGACCGAATTTAATAGAAAATAAACCGTTTGGTATACGAGGAGAATAATATATATTAAATTAAGAGCTAAATATTGATTGGAATTTGTACATTTTTCCGTGCAGAAATATGTCCATAGCTTTGTTTTTGGCTCATTATATCGGGTCTCTAGTAAAAAATATTGACGGGATAATATCCCAGCGAAGTGTTCTTTTAATGAATTGATCATTTTATTGCATTATTCTCTTTCTCTTTTTTTTCGTATATTATATAATTTTTATAAATTTTATGCGTGAAATTTGAAAATTTCTGATAACAATCATAATTAATGCTCAAGAGCAGTCTAGTTTGTGCGATGTACATACATATAAATATATTTTAAATTGAAAACTCAAAGCCAAATACAAGGTTTGCTGGTATTGAAAATAAAGCAAGACATTAATTTGGATTGTACGTGTGTTAATAATGGAAAGTGGGGTTATTATTGAAGTTGACGATATTCAAATATTTTTGCGAATTTTTAGATTATGTTTGCATACTTCAACTTTTGTATTTTGACAAAGTGTTTTGAATGTAAGGTGATTTAGTTGTTGTATATTAACAACTAGTGCTAAAAAATTAAGATTTA